TATATGTACATATATAATATTGTGTGTGTATATGTACACACATATATATATATATATATACACAATTATGTATAATATAGATATACATGTATACACGTACACGAAAGCTAGGCTGCTTTTGTGTGAATTGTACTCCCTGGCTGAAAGAGGTCCCATTTCAATTTTTTGCTACTGCGAGGACGACCTCACTCCAAAACTTATCGTTCGTCATGGGTATTTCTGCACATCATTTCTTGTTGAACTGCCTTACTATGAAAGAGTTGAGACATACTACGGTATGGATATGACCATATCTAGATCAACAGATAGGGATGAAAGAAAAACAGAGCAACCGGGCTTGGGAGAATCATCCCAATGCATTAGCATGATAGTTCCAGTTTCGGATTTCTCATCATTTGCTGAATAACATGATATTAATGGAGGTTTCCTGAAATGGGAGTACCCCCAAATCATCCATTTGAATGGGATTTTCCATTGCCCATAGGATCCATGTATGGTATATATGCTAACATAAAGGGGGTATATATGTATGTAAATGTTACCATATATAGCAGCACCATGGATCCTATGGGTTATAAACTATCCATTTTGGGGGGAACCCCCATACCACTGAGGTCGTCGAAAGAGTGCGGCCGAGCGGGGGCCGTTGTTGGCACGACTTCGGGTGCTGCAACGCGTGGTGGTGAGCAGGGTGCCAGTGGACAGGGGCCAGTTGCTGCTTGGTGGAAAAATGGGGGGGAGTTGGAGCAAAAAAAAACAGGTTTTTTTCACGTAGATATGAGAAAATCACCACTTTTAGTAGGTAAATAAAGATCATAACTCATCTATGAATGTGCCATTTTCCTCCCATTTTCCATAGCTGTGTATGTAAAAATGGGATTTAACAGTCAACACTAGGGATTTAATGAATTTTACTGGGGATATAATGAGATGTTTGTAACCACTCAAGCACAACCGTTGGGGATTTAACACCCAACATTTTAGATGTAGCCAACAAAAACATGGATTCAAGAGACAACATCTGGAATTTCTCACAACCCATTGGGATTTCACGAGCAAAGCATGTTGCTTTCCTTGGACAATCGCACCCCAAAGGTCTTCACGAATGGTTTATCAAGAAATAAGAGACCCGATGGGTTCTCCAACAGTGGATCGTCTTGTTGGTGACTGGGGGGAAGCTGCATTTATATCCCAAGTCTACTGGTTGATCATCATATTCCCGAGATGGAACAAAATGATGGGTATGACTCGGTATGACCCCCGAATTTTCACAGCCTAAACCCAGCATTTTGGGAGCTTGTTCGAAGGGTGCTTAGGAGCGGCTCAGAGCGCAAGCTGAATTAGGGGATTACCCATGGTTTTTGGATGCGGCATTGGAGAGATCTATCCTTTTATATAGTAGGCATATAGTAGTATAGTCACCATACTTCCCATGATATCCAACATTGGAGTACATATCCCTATGAAATCTGGGGTCCAAAAATGGTGCACCCCGGATGGTTTATGTTTTTTTTGTTCCCCATCAAGTCACTGCCATAAATGGTGTGATTTACCCAATTTGGAAGAACCCAAATACCCCATATGACGGGTGATAATGGGCAAACATCCATCAACATCAACCATATCCCACAGAATACCCATTCCATACTACTGGTCAAAGATCCATATTTTAGCTTTAGCCACCAAAAAATCCATCTCATAAATCAATGGACATTTCAGAATTTGTCAAAATGGAGCTACTGTAGGTACTGTCCCATAGAAGGCCATTTTTTTGTCGGGATATTCCCTTACATAACCCTTACCCTCTCATTTTACATAGTGATGTGTTCGCAAACTTGTGAAATTTCCAGAGGCTGCTGCTGCTGCGGCGTGCCGCGAACACCACGGAGGCTGCAGTGGCGGAAGCTGCCTTGATGTCGGGGCTCCCAGGTGATGATGTTAGGATCTTCGTGGAAACATCACAGAAACTGTTTTTTCTGGAACCAAACTAGGTGGAACTCAACTTGGAACTCAAATTTTTTGGAAAATATCGGTGAATGTCAAAAATCCCGATTCATAAATGGAATCATTGGATATGAATGGAATATGGCCCTTTGGTAATCAGGAAATCCATGATAAATGGAGGTTTCAATGGGAAATTCATCTATAACCGGAGGATTTTTCAATTGCCGTTTTTTGTTTTTGTTTATGGGGGATTTTTTTTCTGTGCAAACATACCATGGAATATTCGGATGTTCATTCGGATTTTTCATGTGGAAAACATGATCATAACATGTGCGGAAAGGCTGGAAAGATGGAGAGTTATGGTGAACGTACCCTCTGGTTATTTAACATAGCCATGGAAAATGACCCATTTATAGATGGATTACCTATTAAAAATGGTGATTTTCCATGGCGATGTTAAATAACCAGATGGTAACACGGAAATCTCTCCATTTTTGGTGCAGAGCTCCAAGGTGTTTGGCTGAGCTATTGAGGTGCGGGAAATGGTTTGCAACATCACATGGGGCTTACGTCGAAGGTTGGAAGGTCCTGGTTGATGGTTTTTGGATGCTCTGGCGCATGTAGTCTCTCAAGGAAGGCCGTGGCTTGAGCCCTGGCCAGGAGCCATGCAGGTGCCTTGGAGGCGCTGTGCTCGTCCCGGAAAGCTGTGGGGTTCGTGACTCGTGGGGATTCCCACAAAACCGTGACCGGAGGCCACTTGTAAGGTGAAATCCCCATGAACTATGAACTGATGGTGAAAGTAGATGCAATATATCATATGTATTACACACATATATATATGCATATATGTATATATGTATTATATTCCCATCGATCTTCAAAGCACCATGAAATGGTTCTGTCAAGTACATCCCCAAGGTTTTTCGCTGGTTTGTCATGGTTGAACTCTAACAACTATATAGATTCTATAGATGGTGGAAGCCCCATGATTCATGGTGGCAATCATCAACCAATATCAGGGGGTGGTAATCTACTCCTATTCCAGCAGTACTATCCCATTTACATTCCACATTTCTTCGCATGAATATCCCATGAGAATGATAAACCGATTGGGGGTAGGGATGAAGAAAGCAACATATCATGACCAGTATTCACCATTTTACGGGTGAAGACAACCATATATCATAATCCCCAATAGGTAGTTATGGGCTTGACAATAAAGATATCATGATCCCCAATATATATATATATATATGGATATATATATATGGATATGGATAATATATATATATGTAATTATATGTATAATATATATATACACCATTTTGTGGGTTGAATGATAAAACTAATAACAACACTAATGCTACTACCAAGGATAAAAAACAGTAACATCAACCAACATGATTATATTCTCTTAATTGTCCCACTATATCCCCATTAAGATTTCATTGGGTCTTCATCTAGATTCCATTAAATCCCAGTGAATCCCCATCATAGTATCTCATCATGAAATCCCATTAAACCCGCATTAAATCCCATCATAATATCACATCATTAAATCCCAGTAAACACCCATTAAATCCCATCAAACCCCATAAAATGGTATACTATCAATTTTTGGGATCTAAAAAAATTGATAAGATTAAAAGATCCCATCCTGTAAACCCATCAAAATCCCATAACATGATATAACATCCCAAATTTTTATGATAAGATCCCAAATAATAATGGTATAAACTGGTATAATCCCATAAAATTATGACAAGATCCCAAATTTTTCACGCAGCACGCGGCAGGACTCCTTCCTCCAAGACTTGGAGGACGACCTTCGAGGCCGAGCGGCTCTGCCTGTCAGTGAGGCGCCTGGGCGTTTCACCATAGGAAAACCATGGGGTTCAGCAGCGAAAATCAGGGTTTCAACATGTTTCAACATGTCGAACGCCAAGCAAAATTTTGGATTTAAACATGTTATTTTTACAGAAAGGATGGGGTGTAAACCAAGCAAACCGTGTAGGGTCTAAACAATAAAAGATGGATGAAGCAGTAAAGAAATGAGGGGCTTCATCAACCGAAACAAGGGTAGAATTGATAGATCATCCATGAATTGTTTGGTGGTTTCAAGTAATTCAAGTACCTTGGCAGTTCCACATCAATATCAACGGTTGAATCCCAACCAGCAGGTGGATGAGTGCGAACATGAAACGATGGTGTAGTTGGTCACGCCCCAGTTCCATCACTTGTCTTCACGAGAATTTGAGCCCACAAAAAAAAACGGATCTAGTGTGGTGAAACTTTGTTGGCATTTTTCGAAGCTTTTTGTCGCCACCAAACACGATTGGCTATGGATCAACACCGTTTTTATACCGCATCTTTTTGGGGGTGAACAGAATATCCAAGGCACTCCCGGCGATTTTTCTGTGAAAACCAGGGCAAAAGCCATGGGGTTTCTGACGTCAGGACATGGCCAGGGCCTTGGGGTTGTGTAGCAAGGCCTTGCGAAGGAGTGCACAGGGCAAGGCGGGGGTGGTTGATGGTTGGGCTTATACTAACCAAGAGATTGGGGACATCCTGGATTATCATCCAAGATATTGGGGAATTCTGTTCTCAAGCGACCAGTTTTTTGTATTTTGATTGACAGAGGCTTTTGAAGACTGCTCATGTGAGAGGTTTTCGTGATTGATTCATGGGTCTTCAAGGTTTGATTTTCAACAGGTGAAAAACGACCAATCACTTGAGGTCTGCCCGGATTGATGTACCCCGAAGGAGTCATTTTGATCTACCGCATAGGATGAGAAAAACCAAGGTTTTTCGTGGGAGGATGACCCAAGTGCTGGGTGCTGGGAGTGACATCTCTAGCACAGGCCTTGATTGATGGTTTCTTTTGGTGGGTCAAAGAATCCAGACATCGATCGGCAGTTTTTGAAATTGATATGTTCGGCAACGATATCGATGATGAGTCTTCACGATGAGTTGGGGAAGTGACTTTTTTTTAGACACAAACACATCAATTGACCATTCACAGGATTTTATATACGAGTATCTACGTATGTCCAGCATAGTATCATCACTAGGGCAGAAATATGGGCCACTGGGCCATTCAACATTCAACTCCCCAGAAATGATATTTGTGGGACAAACAAAGATCTGAAAAATCTCGGCCCCCGGGCCCCCGTGTTTTCCGAAATTGGCCCCAGAAAACCATGTGGAGGTTTGAAGGTCCAACAATGTTCAAGAATTTTCAAAGGTTTGACAACTTGATCAACTTGGCAACTTCATTTGAATTGGCTACCTTTGGTTGGCAGAAATTTCTAAGTGGATCATTAAGTGGATCTAGTTGTCGCCCAGCCCATCATGTGGTTTTTTCAGAAGGTGAAGAAGCAATCCCTGGCCCAGTTCATTGCCGCACTGCTGGGGCAGGCCGCTCGGGGTCCAGGCCGCCCCATCTGAGGTCAAATTGGGCACCCAATAAATTGACCCCCAACATGTTGAAATTTGAAGGACTATATTGAGTTGGCAGTTATCAATGATTGGGACACTAAGTTTTAAACATGTTGACAAACTGCTTTTAGCAAGTTTCATGGCCAAGGTGAAGAAAATGGTAGGTGTTTTTTTTGAAATACCCCAAACATCCCCAAACTATAAACCTAGAGGGATAGAGATTGGTTTGTAACTTGCTTAGACCCGACGAATTCAGAAGGCCTCCCGCCCCCTTTTTTGTTGGATCAAGTCCTGGAGGCGTGGTATACAACGCCTCTGGTGTCATCAAACGTGGCTGGGAATCCACCAATTTTCTTGATTTTCCAGCCATGTTTCAGAGGCTCAATAGAAATGGAGATTTAGGATGGTTGAAACAACTGAAACAACCACCCCAAAGTTACAGTAGAATTTCGCCACTTTGGGTGGCGATTTTTTCTGACATTCCAGGCTGGCGAATATTACACTGTTACTACACCTCTAAACGAACCTTGCCATGGACAATCTCTGCAGCCATCCAGATGCTCCATGTGCAAATCCTCTGTGAATTGAGCAGCCTGGTGAATAGGTCCTTCATTCCTGCGCTTGTTCTAGGTACAGCTGGGTACTTGACGCCCATTACGAGAAAGTTTTTGACGTAGTAAACAAAATAATCAACTCAAAAAAAGGTAAAAAAATTGACAATCCCGAACATGTTCTATCGACCTTAGACTGACACAGATTTGTGATCGAAAAAAAGCGCTGAATTTTTCAGCAACTAACTTACTCATCCCAGATTTGATTGAAAGGAACAACAGAAATCCCCAAAGAATTCGCTGGTAAAAAACTGTTACAAAAGCCTCCAGGGTTTTTCCTGATTTCCCCTTCATGAATCCAAGGAAATTCAGCCCAACAGGCTAGGGATCTGAAGATAGGCTATGGTATCCCAATGTATCCCATAATTTCATGACCATCATTTTCCAAAATCAACAAATTGGCAATTCTTGGTCTGGTTTTCTCCCAGTTTTTGACAAACTGGCATATATCCATGATTCATTGGTTAGCAAGCCTGTTCTTGCTGGTGAAATCCCCATATTGACCTCTAAATCAACCAACAAAAAATCACCATGTTTGTCCGGTGATTTTCACATTTGCTGAGTTGCTGAGCCTCGTAAACATAGCTATGGACAATGGATGATTTATAGTCGATTTACATACTAAAAAAAGGTGTGATTTTCCATAGCTACGTGAGTTTCCAGGCCCCATAGCCCTGCGGTGGGTGTCTTCAGGAGCTGGGTGCAGCTGCGCCAGCTGCGTGGAGGACACCAACACCCTTGGCCTTGCTGCGAGGTGGTGACTGGTGGGAGGGAGCGGTTCGGAGCAATTCGGGGGTCTCCATAGTCCCTCTTGACGTTAAAACAAGAATGAACCATTCCCCAGTCATCACCATAAATAGGTGCTATCAAATGGTTTTTGTTTATGATTGTTGTACCCACATATGATCAAATGGGGAGCTTTTTCAGGAGCTACTTAGAATTTGCCTTACATGATAGTGGAATTGGAAACACAAAGCCATTCAAAATCGAAGATATCGACCATCCAAGTTAGGCATTTTTTTACAAACATCTCTTGGACATCCCGCATTTTTTCATCATTTTTCATGACCTCCCATCCAAGTTGACCCAATCTACCGAGGTGCTCCGGCTCCCCCGGAGCTGCCACGAGTGCTGGCCTTTTTGGAGGTCCAAATGCTGCTTGGGGTCACCGTGGGGCTGGTGGCCGAATCGTTCCTTATGTTCCTTTGTGGTTCCTGGATTTTGACCTATAGCCTCAGCGGAATCCGTTCATTGATGCCTGAAGCCCTATCTTTCTTGCTCAGATCTCAATGGATCTAATGTCGGCCCAGATGAGTGACCAAAAATCATCAAAAATCCTTCTTGATGGCCAAAAAGGGGTATTCGGGTATGAACCTATCTGGTCTTAGTTTTCAGGATTATATATATTATTTTTCGTTGTAGGGAAACCACCTCAACAACCATCTCCAAGCGGTTTCTTGGTGTTCTTCTTGCTGTTTCTACTGAGCAGCGTCAAAAACCCCCAAGCAAGAAAGTTAATTGGGGATTAAACTAAGTTGGGCCCGCGGAAGTGAAACCCACGTCCGCGGAAGCGCGCGGAAGGGCTTGCGGAAGCAGACGCTGATCGTCCGATCGCGGAAGGGCCGCGGAAGACAATTTGAGTACCGTATTTACATATATCAAATATATATATACACATATACTTACATATATACGTATACATATACATGCATATACATATTCATATATACACAGATACATATACATATACATATACATATACATATACATATACATATACATATACATATACATCACGGTTCGCACGCCGTGCAACTATAGATGTTGATGCGATTCGTGTGGAAAAGGTGCTGTGCAGTCAGCCTTCATGGGGGCTTGGCGCAGGATGGAAGGTCATCCCTGTAACCCGAAGTGCTTTGAGATGTTATTTTGAACCCGTTTTGGCCCCGAAATTCGCGGAAGCCGCGCGGAAGCTCCGCGGAAGCTACGCGGAAGCCGAATCTTCTCTTGCCCGCCCCCAGCACACGCGGATGGGTACCAGCGGCTGCTTGACCATCGTCTCTCTCCCTTTCTTTCCGCCTTGGCGAGTTGGATACTACGACAAGCCTCGTGCTTGGGAACAACCAGGAGCTGAAGCAGGCAAAGAGAACAGTGTTACTCGCAGATTCCGCGACCAAAAGACAAAAAATGCCGCTTACATGCCGAGCCGAAGGCCAACCTTTTTGCAAAATTGCTCTGCCAAAAGTCTTTCCCTGCAGCGCGCTGCTGCAAAGAAACGCCGCCAGAGCCAGAGGCTACGTGGAGAGGAATCTTCGTCTTCTTCCACATCTTCTTCATCTTCCGCCTCGTCTTCTCCATCGTCGGATGAAGAATCTGCCTGACTGCCGAACGCGTGCTGCTGCCAAAGAAAAAATGTTTGAGTGCCCGGATGCACAAACAAACTAAATATCACCCACTATTCTCCACAATCAAAGTCAATCAATTTCCATCAATGCTAAATCAACTTGTAGATTTCATGAGAGCTGGCTTTCGCGGAAGCTCCGCGGAAGCAGAATCAACTTACCAACCATCCGCGGAAGCTGAAACTGTGGTGGCGGAAGCAGCGCGGAAGACCGCGCGGAAGACAAGTAAGATTATAAGAGAATTACATAGGGGTTTTCGCCACCGCTCTACTGGTGATTTACCACTGGGAACCGATCGTTAAACGACTGGCTTCAGGCTGGCGGCCTCACAAAGTTGGAGGGCGTGCTGGCACTTCAGATGAGCGACGACTTCCGGGAGGACGGGCTTTTCCGGAGCCGGGCCGGCAGGAGATGGTTTGGTGCAGCAAAGATGCAAAACCAACTGCCAGGAGTTCCACCAAAGCTACCCTCCGGTAATTTAACATAGCTATTGAAAATGACCATTTATAGTGGATTTTCCCATTGAAAATGGTGATTTTCCATAGTTACGTTAGTTTACCAGAGGGTACAACTTGAGGCAACTTGAGGGTTTTTTCATGTTTTTTTGCTGGGTGAATCGGGATTTGAACAACAGATCTTGACAAGAATGGAGGTGTTCAGATAACTCAAGAGGCACAACCTGCACATATGAGGTTTAACATTGTATATGCGTGTTCCTATGATGATGCTATAGAACCTTCCAAAATGTGGGGATTTAAGCAGATATACGTGGATATGATATGATATAATCTCTTCCACCTTTCCTTATAAACCGACATAGATCTACGCAAACCTATATATATATAGATATACATGAAAAACTACACAAATTTCAATAAATCTACATACATCCACACTCATCTACTCGAAGTAACCTACACAAATTTACACAAAGCTACATCGATCTACGCAAATCCAAAAAGCAAACAGACGTGGACCGAAGCCTCACGAGGCACGTCCCAAAAGATGGTTCCTGCAGGACGGAGCTCCTGATCTGCATGTGGCCACCGTGGCAGCTGCGCAGTTGTTGCAACTCTTGGGGAAGGTGGGGATCTCCAGTGGATGGTGGCAACCACGGAGATAACAAGCCTCGACGCCATTGCTGCAGAGTCACGGTTGATGAACTTTCATAGTTCATGGGTATATCAGCATTTCAAATGTACAAGAATCCTTCAAAATTTGCGGAAGTCAGCAATAAATTCAAGGGATATGATGCGGATTTAGCAATCGTAAAGCTGGTTGATTTTTTTTGACGCCCTCACGTCGCGACGGAATTCGACGTTTTTATCATGGTTAGGATTGGGGTACTTATCCCCAAAAAGGCCGAACTTTTTCAGGTTAGTTAATTCCTATCATGGATAAATGATGGTTGGTGCTTTAGGGAAACCACCTCAGTTTTGGGTTTATTTGAGATTTGGGGACGATTTTTTGATTGGCCCAAAGCTATTTGGATGTGCAGTTCCTAAGTAGTTTATAGTCCACATAGAATTGGGGAGATTTATCCCCTTCCCAGGATGCACATTCCACTAGCCGGTACGCCACCCTGGAAAGGGAAAAATCCTATGAAGATGAGGAATCATCTGGATGCGCCGGGCTAGTTTTTTGGAGATCTGCGCTATCTGCTATCTGGTTGATAAGTGGATATAGAAATATATAGAACCATATGCCATAGGTACTTAAGTGAGGACGCTGCAGTCAAGGAAGCGCGCAGGATGGGATGCACGCCCAAGTAGGGGAATGAACGCAGCATGGATGTGTTTGGCTTCGTTTGGCTTGGTTTGATTTGATTTGGGTTGGTTTGGTTGGCTGGGTGTTTTGGTTGGCTGGGTGGTTGCTTGGTTGGTTGCTTGGTTGCCTGCTTGGTTGGTTGGTTGCTTGGTTGGTTGGTTGGATGTTTGAAGTTGCAAGGAAGGATGCAATGATGGATGTGATTCCTGGGGCTGAAACAGCCCCAAATCTTCATCACTTCGCCGCTGGTGAACCAGTCGCCCAGTTGAGCCCCCAAAGAGGTGGAGATTTGGGATGTCAATCTCGGCAAAAATGGGATGGCCCTGCCATGAGTCCCCCCCAAAAATGGTGGTCCCCCCAAAAATTGAATGGTTTTGTCATGATTTTCCCATTCAATTGGGAGATTTTTGTGTATATTGAGCTCCTGCACAAACGCAGTTGGGGTTTCTTGTGCAGGAGGTTCAGCTCCAAATGCTCCTGGGTGGCATTTAAACCACAGAAATGAAAATGGTCAAGTATTCAGTATTGTAAACCAGAAAAGGTCTACAAGAGCTCAGCCAAGGGAGTCTTGGGCACAACACATGTGGGTCCCTGGAAGATATCGACCGCTGATGGTAGCTCAGGAGCGAAGAACTGTCGTGGATCTCCTATCTGCCTGATGTGCTCCGGTGGATGAAGGAGAACCCAGGCAGAGAGTTGCGGGGAAGGGGAAGACTTGATAAGACTTGGTGCCCAGCATTGCTTGATTCATCTTGATAGCAACATGCTGGTTGGTGGTTTCAAACATTTTTTATTTTCCATTTCATATATGGGATGTCATCCTTCCCATGGACTTTCATATTTTTCAAGATGGTTGTTGCACCCCCAACCAGCCATGTACAGAACATTTCCATTGGAAAGAAACCAGATTTTTGCCTCGACATTGATGGAGTCTTCCACACAACTGATGGCTAGATGATCATATACCAAACCGGCCGCCCTCTAAAAGGACAATCTTGTAATGAACCGTTGGGGTTAGGGAATGGTCGCCTCCCATGAAAAAGGCCTTAATATACCTAATATACCACCCCTCAATGAACATAGGCCCTGAAAGTAGCTCGAAGCAATAGTGGAAACTCATCTTCCAACCCCCGACTGATGGCAGGTCTATTATTTAATTTCTCGGGTAAAATGCCATTAATAAACCGTCCCAAAATCACCATAAATGGGTGGAAAAGCGGAACATCATCAAAAATACCCAAATGGGTACCCTCTGGTAATTTTAACATAGCTATTGAAAATGGCCATTTATAGTGAAATTTCCCATGAAAAATGGTGATTTTCCATAGTTATGTAAACGTTTACCAGAGGGTAGTGGTCTTTGGCATCGGTTTTCCCACATTGATTGGGAAATCCCATGATTCGGAAAGGCGTCCACCACAAGTCCCACAAATCCCATGTCTTTTCGCGACGGTCATCCCGTTTCAGGCCCGCACCTGCAGCCATTGATCACCGTGCTGGGTAAGCAGTTGGAAGGCCTTTGCAAGGCGGCTTGGTAACCAAAAAACGCGGGTTTTGGAAGATTGACGATGCCAGCCAGGCTGAAGGCTGCATATTTCATGCACAATTTTTGGAAGATGATCTGTGAAATATGGGCTTGGCATCAATTCTGGGTACCAGCCGCAGGGAGAGGGGCGGCCGGTGCCAGACAAGGCGAATCGGGGTGGGAGCGAAAGTGATGGGCCTTCCAGTTGCTGCTTGGTTGTTAAACGTTTTCAAATGGTTTCCAAAGTCATGGGGGTTACCCCAAATCATCCAAGTCATGGATGACCATTTTAGTATTGAAGCCCATGGTGACTTGGGGATACATGGGGATCCACTATTTTAAGAGACCTGCAAATATCTAGTTCTCATTTGCAGCCATATTTGGGAGGAAGGGTGTGACTCCAAGTGCTGTCATTCTTTAACTACGGTGTTGATTCTTCATCAACTTCCATTCAACCTTGGAATCTCGAGGAATTCACGCAGGAGCTCAGTCCATTAGGCATTGGTGGCACACAAGGAATCAACTCCTGTGTTACTTCAAGAGCTGGCTTGAACTTCTTATTTTTTGATTCCCGTGTTTTAATCTGCAGGATAGCCTTGGGTTGTTTTTGTTGGAGGTTAAACAACCCATATTTTGATCCATTTTTCCAGCAGATATTGCCAACCAGAAAGCAATCCATTGATCGCATCCTGAGGAGCTCATGGACTTGCTAATGGCCTGGGCTGAGCAAAATCAGGACGGGAGGACCTGCAACGAAACAGTGGTTTGAAGATCATCATAAATTCCCGGACCTGCAGATGCGATTTTCTGGGGATATGTATAATTACATATATATATATACTTGTATATGTATATAAGAATTACACGAATACATAAATATGTATGTATAGATATAGACATATTTCTTGTCTTTCATCCATTTCAGACGCACCCAAAATTTGGTTAAGCCCGAACATAACATCCAGTTCCTTTTCTTGGATGGGGGTGTTTTGCCTTTAGAAAGTTTTCTTGCAAAAACCTCTGGTTTTGCACCGCTTCACAGTCAGTTCACAAGTTTACCCTTTGGTAATCAGACATGGGTATGGATCAATACCTATTAATACCATTTTTAGGGGGATGAACATCCATAAATCCCAGCTATTTTGATGTTCACCAGGGGTACAAGGTTTTGACACACTGCCACATGGCAATTTCACACTCCCCCATTTTTTTTTGTCGATGATTTCCCCCAAAAACACCTACATCGAGTGTCGGGATTTCCATTGCTATGTTTGATTACCGGAGGGTATATCATGTACTGCATATCTCAACGTTGGTGACATTGTCCTCGTCCGCAATTTCGGCATTGAAGCTTAGTGGAAGCCGGTGCCAGGAGGAAAATGAAGCGCATGACAGTGTCCTGGTTGGGTTTCATAGGTTTTCCAAGGTTCAGTGGAACACCAATCGGTGGTCAAAGGCTACAAGTGCCATATTTGGAGGATGAATTTATCATAAGAATATCTTGGAATAGCAGCTATTTGGGGGTTCACCAGGGTAGGCTCTTGAAAATTGTGACCCATCTCCTAGGAAGTTTTTTTTGTGGAAGAACTAGTTTTCCCTGAACAACAGTCCCAACCACAACTTCCACAACTCATGCGGGCAGCCGGTGATTGTGGGCACTTGTTCCGGGCCACGCATGTCGTCGATATGAGATACCAAGTATCTGAACACTTGCAACTGAGGGATGTGGCAAAGCCAATCACCATTTGGGAATGCACAAGTTACATCAACTTACCGCCCATTTATAGCGATATTGGGGATGGTTCTTGGAGGCGATTTAGGGCAGCTACAACCATCGTTGCAAACTTGCCAAGGAGGGACTCTCCAACCAATCGTACGTTCCAACTGACAAGGGGGGAATAATCCCAACCACTGGGGTTATTTGATCTTATTTGCTGGGAAAACTTCTGGCCAGGAATCGGCCATATTTGTATTGGTTGTAGAGCCACATTTTATCCACATCACCACGTTGAAGTTTCAGCAACCACCAAAAATAGATAGAACAGCGATTTACCACTCTTTTAGAACTGGCTACACCCGAGGTTTTGCCTGTCTGGAGTTGTGGGCCAAACGTTCTGACTGCTCAGCTGAGTTCTTGGAAAGGCGAGTTGATGTGTAGGTATATATATATATATATCCAATCTATCAATCTAGCAATCTATCTATTCATCGACTATCTACGGGTAAATCTATCTATGCATAAATTATAGCGACCTCAGCAACAATGAGAGGTTACTGATTTCCAGGAGAGGTCGGCGGGAGTACGGAAGCCCGTCACGAGTCGGAATCCTCGAGAACGCAAGCGTAGTATATAAAGAAAGATGGCTGGAGAGTATACTTCAAGCAAACATGGGATATATCAAGCAATGGGTGTCAGATTTTACCATTAAAGATAGCAACCCTGTTGCGATCGCAAGATGTGTCGATTGGAGATGGTCACTTTCCGGGATGATACGCTCTGCAGGGGACGGAAATGATTGATCGGCAGCTCAGGATATCAAAAACCTTTTCGCAAGAGGATTTTTCATGATTTTTTTTCGACCTTTGTTTTGCCCAGAAATCTGCCATGGTGTTTTCCCGAAGACCCATTTTGCAAAGTGCGACAACCCAAGCTCCAATCCCTCTAGTCATCTCTGGCGGTGGAATAAGTGGAATAGATGCACCACCTTGTTTCATAGATATTAGATACATTTAGATACTGTATATATATGATTATATATGATTATATATGTATAATTACATATATATATATTATATACATACAATATCACAATAGATCATCTACAAACACCGGAATTTTCCATCAAAGATTGCCGGCTGCCCGGGTACCGGAATCCGGTATTTTCCACATGAAGCGTAGCGTCGCGTAGCCGCCCGCTTTTCCGCCCTCCGCGAGGCTTTCCTTGCGAATCTGCAGCCTGCCCAGTGAAGAGGTCAGCTGTCAGCATTTCATGACTGGATTTATATCAAATGTTATGGCTATTTGATGGCAAAAATAAGGATATCAACCAGCATTTTCTAACATTTCTAACACTTTTAATGAAGACTATGGGGCGATTCAGCCACATTTTATGGCCATTTTGATTGGACATTGATGATAAGTCTGGCATTTTGGGATACCTATAAAGTGATGCATCAAAAAATTGGAGAATTTTGGAAGACACCCAAAAAAACATGATAAAACTGGTCCTTTCTAGTCATAGCATCCAACTCACATTCTAGAGCCCCAGTGCAGACTCCATCCAGTCACAGTCTCCGCTGGATTTTCACGAAATCTCGCAGCTTCGACTTGGCAAAATTTAAGAGCTGAATCTCATAGGATCTACCCCTCCCAATGATGAAAAATTGATGGTAGTTGTGTATTAGTTGTGTCAGTTGTGTCTCAGTTTCGCCAATTCTTGTTGGTCATTATCACCAACAACCATTATTTTGTTGATTTTCCACTAGTTTCTTTTCCTAATTCTACTCATCATCGTAGAAGTGTATACAAATCTCCGAAACGCAACATCAGGAAATTCCCCCCAGTTGCAAGTTGATTTTTGAGCCCATCGGTTGTAATAGTGTACAGTTTCTCCACCGTACATCTGGTAATCAACCGTGGCAATGGAACACCCAATGTAAATGGAGGTTTCATGGGAACATGGGCTCATTAACAATTTGGGCACCAATTACCCTCCAGTAAATTAACAGTTGGACCCTGCCAGATAGGGGTTGAAAGATTAGTTTCCTCTAAAAATTGGTGATTTTCAGGGTCTATGTTAATTTACCAGAGGGTAATGGTAATTGATGGCCAGTTGATTTTATTGCCCTGTTATGCCAATGGCCGGTTGAACAAACACCACTGATTTTCAGAACAAATGTTTGAGAGAACGCAGAGGCACAGCAACATTCCAGACCCATATCACAAAGTTTGACCAAAAATTGAAAAACGTTGTGCCACTTCTTGATTTCGTGGGGTGATTTGTCTTTCACGATGTGCCTTTCGGTGGGGTGACTTCATGTTAAAAGAGGTGCGAAAGGTCTAGCGCTCGTAATTTATTGGTAATTATATGATGTACATATACATACACATAAATACATACTTATATATATATATATAAATGTATATAAATGTTATCCTTCCACCATGTGGCCGTTGGGATTGAGGCTTCCCTACGACCTTTGGGCAGTGCACTGGCCCGCTTGGTGCGTGGCATGAGGCCTTTGGGCTGGGGCCTTTTTGGGGGATGCCAACCGACTCTGTAGCCTGGAGGGATTCCATTCCGATGGTTTTATGAGTTCCCCATTTTTATGATGAAATGGTTAGAAAGCTGGTTTTAATGGGCTTTAATGGGTTTTAATGGGGTTTTAATGGGGTTTTAATGGGTTTTACTGGTGTTTTAATGGGTTTTAATGGGTTTTAATGGTGAGTCCGCTGGTTTCTAACATCCCTTGTTTTTATGGCATTTTGATGGTGCGTGACTCAGCCCGGTGCAATTTCTGATTGGAATCCTGGGGGATGGTCAGCAATCCATTTTCAAAGAGGGAGAAAAATATCCCCAGGGTGTTTGAATTCCCAGGGCTTGGGATGGTATCCCCAGGGTGTTTTTTTTTTTTAAATGTAACAACTGGGCGCTTGAATGGCTTTGAATAGATGGTTGATCGTTTTTTTGGTGGCTTTGAATTCCCATAGTTTTTGCTATGAAAATCCATAAATCCCGATTTTAGGTTCCGTATACATCACCAGTTGTGCTGCTGATCGGTATGACCATGTGATTCTAAGTTCTGTAAGTTGGGATATGCCCCGAAAAAACTCTGGTGAAATATCTCACTGGGAGGGCAACCTCCAACTGCACCTAGAAGTGATAGGGGCCCATCGCAACTTGTGGGCAAAAAATCCATGGAATTCTATCAGTTATATCAGTTATATATCAGTTATATCAGTAATTCTAAGTGAACCCCCAAGTGGCTATGGATCAATACCTATACATACCATTTTTAGGGGGATGAACATCCATAAATCCCAGCTATTTTGATGTTCACCAGGGGGAACAAACGACCGGATGCTGTTCAGTCAGGTCCAGCTCCTCTGCGGCACTGGTGGCAGCTCAGCGCTTGCTGGGTGCAGCCGAGGAGAGAGCGAAGAAAGTTTGCCGCGATCCGGGAACGGAAATGACTTCAGCAAGTTACATAGAATTTAATCACCATAAATCAATAGGTGGTATAAACCATTCCCAAATGGCTGGTTTATGATTGTTTTAAACAATTTGTGACCATAACATGGGAAACCTGCTTTTTTTGGGCATGAAAAGTATGGAACTTGTCTTTACAGGATGGTCACATTTATTCATCAACCATTTCAGACAAATTTCAAATGTGGGGCCTTTTTTTTTGAATTCGCCCTGGTCATTTTTTGCGAGGGAAGAGAAAAAATGTGAGTTGTTCATCAATAATACCCTCTGGTAATTTAACATAACTATGGAAAATCACCATTTTCAATGGGAAAACTCACTATAAATCACCATTTTCAATAGCTATGTTAAATTACCAGAGGGTAATCAATCCGCGCACTGCGTTGATTCTTTTGGGATCCGAATCTCTGGTTTAGACATGCTGAGAGGCTTCTCCAAGGTTGGTCATGTTACCCATTTTTTGGGCTGGGACATTGAGCCAAGCCACCAGCCAAACCGGAGGACGCAACAAGGCTACTTGGTCCTTACTACGCGACACCCAAGACTGACATGGGCGTTTTCCGCCATGGCCAATAGATGGTCGTAAATGTGTGATGATCAAAAATGGTGATTAATCCATTCATTGGGATTATGTGAATTATGTACCAATTATATATATCTAATATATCTAATTCTAAACACCTCCTTAATGGGATCGTTCACATACCACATATATCAATACATACCATGTAACTTGAACCGGTGGATACCATATATATGTATATATATATATGTATAGATACATGCACATATATACATATACATATACACATACACATACATATACATATACACACACATACACATACACATACACATCCACATCCACATCCACATCCACATCCACATCCACATCCACATCCACATCCACATCCACATCCACATCCATCCATCCATCCATCCATCCATCCATCCATCCATCCATCCATACATACATACATATGTACATATGTACATATATATATATTATATACATCGGTTTGATAACAAGTGGTTGGTATTTTGCAAAAAAGTGGTCATTCTTCCCCTAGGATGATTGACTTACGCCGAGCCGCTGACTTTTTTGGGAGTGCGACTTCATTAAGGGATCATTGGGCGAAGTGACCGTTTCATGGTTTTTCTTTTTTCTCCCCGGATTTGTGTCAGCCTTCTTGAAATTATAGACCGAGAAAGTCAGAAGTAAGTGAATGGTCTTTTTTTTCTGGGCATTACTCTCCTTACTCTGTCCCTTCGAGCTTCATTGACCTCATTGATCTATGTTTAAAATATACTTCTAGGTATGAAACTATATTTCGATTTCGGATGAAACTATGTCAACTATGTTTTGATTTATCTACCTGTAGTTTTTGTTACAAATTCATAGACCCTTTTCTTTGGCCGACGTCTACCGGCCAAAATGTTTTCCCCGTGGGGGTGACAAATATGGTGACCTCGTCGGGGGCGTGAAAAGCGTAATGTCCTATGGGTCATACTGGGGATGCAACGGGGGTTGGTAACTGTCCATTTTGGGTATATTGGACATCACCTTATAGTAGCCATTATAGACCATATACCTAATGGTTGGGTGATGTTCAATGGGGACATTTAATGACCCATGCAGGTAACCATCAAAATGGGGGGGAAGACCTATAGCCGGTATTTTTTTACCTTGATCTGGTTGATGTCGATGGTGACACACACACACACATTTTTGCAACAGATGGGAGGATGACCCCCAATGATGAGCATATTTTTCAGAGGGGCCAACATTTTTCAGAATCCGCCGATTGTGAAACATTATAACAATGGGTTTCCCCATGGTTCTTTTTTCATATCTACCAACAAAAATAGCTCAGGGTATATGTCAGATTTGGCAAAAATGATGATATCCCAAGGCAGCGATCGTTTCTTCTTGACTGCCTTGACACCAATGTCCGGGGAAGTCTCAGAGCAAAATTGATCCGCATGGCTTCTTTGAGTTTCATCCATGCTGTTTGGATAGCATCAGCAACAAATGGAGGCCTGTAGCCAATTGGACACTGTGTAGAATGAGGCCTGTTGGCTACAACAGCTTCTTTGCGGATCCCGCAGCAGCAACACATGATAGCTAAAGCCAGGGGGATAATTTCTTAATCCATAGGAAGCGACCAATTTACGAGAACCCCCCATCTTTGGCAGGTAAAAAAAAACACCAAATGCATCCAATCCAGTGAAACCAAAACCAATTGAGCCATGAATACAACTACCATCTGCCCCCAATCATAGCCCACTACTTTGCAACAACTCAAGCTAGTGTCATTTATCATATCCCAATTTTAGGTGGTTAAGCATAAAATCCGTATTTGTTCCTTAAAACATGTTCTCCAATTTTTGCAGGTGAAATATGATGTGTGCTTGGATATGGGTGTGTCTGAAAATGGGGCATACCCCAAATTATAGCCATTTAATAGGGACAAATTATCATTAACCAGAGCGGATTTAGTTTTTTCTCCAACACTTTCGGACAACCCCAAAATTAGAACATGGTTGGTTAGTCGTATATTCCCCTTGTATCCCCTTGTGGCATTCAATGCCATAGTCACCATCCCCAAGTCATAGATGGCTGACTCAACTCTGAGGCCTTCTCTGCTGCTCTGCGCTGCTGATCTTCTCCTGGCCCTCTTTGCGCACGCGTCGGGCAGCACGCGGTCTTCGGGCCGCGGTCTTCGGCGTGCCGGGGCTGCAGGGTGGGGCAGGGTGGTGGATGCGGGTCTCCCAAAAAACGCAGGGTTTGGGGATGGCACTGACTATGACGGGTATACTGAACCATTGGGCATACAAACAATTACCAGTGAATGGGTTGTAAGAATAACTATATCAAGAAACTATTAAATGAATGGATATAAAAGTGTGTATATATATAATTATATAAATATATATACACACACATATTGGACACAGTTATATATAAGTTATAATAGCTTAACATGGCTTAACTACCGTTTAAGAGGTTCAAGTAATAAGTGAGGGATATGGGGGTATAAAAGCACTAACATTTGGGATACAATGGGAGGGCGAATAGCACCCAATTTAGGCCACGCTAGGGAAAACAATGATGAAATATAACCGTTGTGGATTTTGGGAGGTACCTACTGGGTACTGCCAGTTGTAGCAGCTGCAAGCCTGAAGTCAAAACCGTGAAAGCCATCGTGAAAGCTACCCTCTGGTAATTTGTTACATAACTATGGAAAATCACAATTTTTCATGGGAAAATCACAATTTTTCATGGGAAAATCCACTATTTCGACTGGGTCATTTAAACAATAGCTATGTTTGACATCACCAGGCCGGCTATCGTCCAAAATTCTCCAAGATCTTCCAGAGATTTTGACGCCCGAGGTGATCGACGGCATCCGCAACTGGCCTGATGGGGATGCGGCTCTGTATTGTTGCTTACCCTCTGGTAAACGTTTACAAAAAACTATGGAAAGATCCACCATTTTCAATGGGTAAATCAACTATTTCAATGGCAATGTTTAATAGTTATGTTAAATTACCAGAGGGTAGCCCGCAAGTTTTCCGGGTGAATTTTCCATTCTTGGCAAAGTCTCTTTGGAGTTTTTGTGACTCCAACCGGTCATTTTCCCCTTTTTTTGGGTCGTTTGAATCACCGTTCCGTCGAAGTTGGTTCATTGTTGCTGGCTATGCAGCCACCAATATTTCTGGTTTCATGAAATCATCCATGTTGAATCCGAGTCTTTCGGCAACTTTTTTTCGCTCCGGTACTGCCTAACATAGCTATGGAGTTTTTTCGGTGCGTAACATAGATGATTTAAAGCTCATGTTAAAATGGGCCTAAATTACCCTATGATTGTGGCCTAAATCATAGATGATTGTCTGACTTAATTTAGGCCACATTTTCTCGGTGCTTTTTACATGTTTTAGCCCCAGTAAAAGCTCCATTTTTCAGCTGACAGCGAGGCAGCTCTCACAGCTGGAGTCCTTGCTTTTGAGCTGCGCCTGTGAAAGTGCCCGAAAAGCACCAGGCGTGTGGGAGATGGGGAAGGTTCATGGTGATCAAAACAAGGGTTTCGCCTCTGGTAAACCAACACATTGCTATGGAAAATCGCTATTTTCAGAAGTAAATCAACTATAATGGGTCATTTTCGAGAGCTTTTTGTATGTTTACCAGAGGTTAGGTTCATGGGTCATGGTCAAGGTTTATTGACTTGGAGGTTTCCCAAGTCCACTTGGATGACCTAATGACAGAGCTTTCCCCTGTGAAAAACAAAAGGGTGACCTGGAGATCCCCAACGATGCGCAAACCCGGTTCTTATTCAGGGTTTGTGATGGGAATCGGGACATCCACCATTTTTTCAATGGGTAAATAATTAATTAAATGGTGGATAATGATGGTTAATGATGGTTAATGATGGTTAATGTTAAATAGGTAAAACATTAATTAAATAATGATGGTTAAAACACCCCCTAATGATGGTTAATGATGGTTACCATCTGGTTATGACTAACATAGCTGGCTGGAAAATCCCAACCATAAATGGAGGTTTCTAGCTGGGAAAATCATCTATTTCTATGGGCCATGGCTTCGATTGCTACGTTAAATAGCCTAATCGGGTAATCATGGCGTTAGCCAACTAAGAGCTTGACCCTGAGAATCACTGTTAAGGAGGAATGTTGTCTTCCAACCCCTGACACATGGCAGCATCTATGTCAATTTAGAGGATGGTAATGATGCTTAATCGTGGTTAATGATGAATGATGATGGTTCATGATGCCTGATGATAGTAAACCTTGATTCAATTGATGAAGGGGGGTAAATAGGAGAATACGTGCCCGATTTCTTAGATTAATTCCTCCAGGTTGATTTTAAAAAAAACTCCAGGTATTGAGTTCATTAATCCCGTCGTTCATTGGGAAACCACGATGTCCAACCCCGGAAGAGCCCTGGATGATTGAATTGGGATGGTATCTTTGCTTTGGTCCCCATTTTGGGTGATTTCAGCATGTTTGATCATTTCTGTTGGCTTATAGTGATATATATATAGTTACAATACATACATAGATCATTACATATATATGTATATATATATACATGTACATATATATCTATACATATACATATACATATACATATACATATACATATACATATACATATACATATACATATACATACACATACACCTACCTACCTAACCTACCTGCCTGCCTGCATGCATGCATGCATGCATGCATCCATACATACATACATACATACGTTACATACATTACATATGTTACATACGTTACATACGTTACATACGTTACATACGTTACATACGTTACATACGCTACATACGTTACATACGTTACATACGTTACATACGTTACATACGTTACAAACGTTACATCCGTTACATCCGCTACATGCGTTACATGCGTTACATACGTTACATGCGTTACATGCATACATACGACATACATACATACATACATACATACAGACAGACGACATATATACATACATGCATACATACACACAGACAGACAATACAATACAATACAATACAATACAAATACAAATACAAATACAATACAATACAATA